GTAATCTAATGGCACGCTGACCAACTCAGAAAAACTCTGAACCCACAAACTGTACTATTATTGTGGGATAAGCCTTCTCATATAAGAGGTTCCATCAGACGTATTGTGTGAAAGATTAAAGCCCACAGTAAACAAATGAATTGGACCATATCAGTGTGGCTTTAGATCTGGTCGATCCCACTAGAGGCCAGATATTCATCTGGGTTTTTTCTTTACCAGATACTCCAAAACTGACAAAATTCCCTGTGAGAAAAGGTTCGGCACACATCACCACTTTGAGATTCTTAAGCTATAAAATAAGTTGCCACTAAACCGCAATGTCTAAATTTGACATCTCTGAAAAAGTTGTACACCTGGCGCTGAGCAATTTTTATTGCTCGGAAAGGCGGTAGGACATCGTCGTACCGTTCGATATTAGACGAGATGACAGATAGGACGGCTCTTTATTTCTTCAACTTAATTATGAAGGAAATAATATAATCTGCAGAGCTAAAGGTACAATCTTCAATAAGAGCGTACAACTGTCGCACAAAATCGCACCGTTAGTTCCGCTCCATCCAGACTAGACATAGGAACAAGGAGAATGGGTTCGGTAACGAGGGAGATGAAATATCTTCTGCCATAACTTGCGATTTGGTTCCAACGTACCTGCTAATAGTCAGCGAACCAGCCGTCAATACAGGATCACTCTTGTCAACAGATTCTACTTTAGATTGAGTAAGCTTTGAAACAAAAACCAATTTGATATGTGGTTGTAGCGGCTTCGTTAACACCACTTAGGTTTATCAATCAAATTGTCGAGATCATTTAACTGAAGGTCCAGGAAACGAGCTGTTTGGAAGGGATTGGACCCGAGGTAGAGAGGGTTAAATGTGTCGGTTTAAGGGGGCATGTGAAGATGTTGTTAGTGTCGTACGGAGACTCCCCACATGCAGGGCATACGTTGAGTATGTTGGGGACGAGTCTGGATAGGTAGGAGTTCAGCTTGCTACAATATCCATACCTAAATAAGTTGTGCAAATGTCGTGCGGGTCTCTGTAGGCAGCTCGAGCTCGTAGTCAGCAATAAGTTTCTTTTTCTCCGAGCACGCCATTAACGGGCAGGGAGTCTTTGAAGGTGTTGACTGACTCCGGTTGTTGTACGTATTGCTGGATGGTCTCCTTCATGCTTAGTACTTCACTTCTGATATGTCCAGATTGAAGTTCGGCTTGTATGAAATGCCTATTGGGGTGTTCCCTGCTGTTCTACGCACCGGAGTTGACCCGGATTTTATCCGGCTGTCACCCTTTCGGCGACCTAACGCCGTTTAGGCCAAAAGGTAACATTAACTTATCATTTCCGTTTTGGGTATGGTGTAGAATTGCTGAAAATGTCCACATCCGACGACTTCGCACTAGAAGTTGTCGAGAGGCGGAGTTTATGAGTTTTATGCACCAGACCTTTGTTCATTGGCAAAACCGAAGACGTAGGAAGAACGTTGATATACTTCAGTAAAAAGACAGCGGCTACACCGGCACTCCAGATTTAAAGGTCTCCGACATAGTTTCCGTTGCTGGAAGAAGAAGAGAACTCTACTCCGTTGAATATGTCAGGTAGAGAAGGATCTGGTTACTTTTGATGTCTCCAATTGACGTCTAAGAGTGCAGAGAAGAAACAACTGGTACGCTATTGCTGACTCAACTATAATCGCAAAAAGCTAATCAAGAAGTACAAGAATATATACAACTAATACCGCCCACACATTTTCCTACAGGGATGGTAGCGCAGTCGTTGGAGCACAGAAATTATTCGAGTAAAATAAAGTCAACGGCGAAATGTGCGCACCAAGAAATTATTAATGAGACAAGAGAACCGCACATTTATTTATTTATGTGCTTCTCTGCTTTTGTTTTTGATTCGCTTTTTGATAAATTACCCGAAAATTCGAAAAACAAAAGAAAGCTACGAGTATATGCATTGCGTCAGACGGCAGACAGTTGAAATGGAGCTGCGCCCTAAAAATCCTTACTGGATATACCAGTTTCGAAAACACAAAAACAACTAAGCCAAGGGAGAATGCTGTGTGTGGGAGTGTGTGTATGTATGTGTATGGGTGTAGGTGGATAGTTTGACCCACATTTGTAGACCACAAAAACTTCTATGAAATTATTTGTAGCAATCAAATCGATTCAAGGGTTCTTTCTATATTGAATATTACACAATCACAAACATATGTTTCTCAAGACACATTTTCACACACACACATACACTCTCGTAGTGTTATAATTATGGGGATTAAAAGCTGCTGCGCGGATGTAAGAGTGTTATGTGCATATCCCTGTGCTGATGAGGCGCTTTTACGTGCAGCTGTGTCGGCTGGAAGTTATAATTAGTTCCGGTTTTAACAGTACATTTGCTCATGTTTTGAAGCTTTCTATTCATGAATTATGAGCACACTTGAGAATTGAAAATAAAAAAAAAACCTTTGAATATGTCTGTGTATGTATGTGTATGAAAGTGTAATATATGAAATTAGTTTGTAAAGATTACAGATGAGATTAAATGGTAGACATTTGGCTGGCTGGATGGCTGTATGAATGTCATCAATAGAAGCGGAAAAGAAGAGACAATCAGCAGTGTCTAAAGCAACAGAAGGGAAGGCAAGAATTCTTTTAACTTTTACACGCAATTTCAAACAGGAAAACCTACTTAATACGCAACCCAAACGAAACTCACAGCAGACATGCCCAAGGATGTTGGTAATGGAATAATTAATTTATTCTTTTAAAAGCGAAACTCGGCGCCACATTCAATTTGTAGACCTTCAGATGTCGATGCCTAAAGTGGTTAATTATAACACTTGAGAAATGATTGAGAGAAAATGTAGGTTAAACTGGAGGAAAGAATGATAGATAGATTGTAGACTGAATGCGTTTAATTTCAAAAAAACTATTTATTAGCGCAATTTGCAGTTTTAAATACTAACAGCGAAACTCACGAAACTTACTTGCGTTTTTAAGGGGTTACATACAGCCTTGGCCAAAAGTATTAGGCACGCCACTAAAATACAACTATTCTCAAATGTGGCTATCAAAGTAACCACTTCTTTTTGTAAATGTTTTACATGGGTGTTTAACTGTTGATTAAACGAATAAATTGTGTAATATTAAGGGTCATAGCACTCGGGGTAAGCTAAACCTAAAAAATGTCATTTTTAAGAAGTACTCAGTAGAGTATTTTCGCATTTAAAATTTGAAAGTGAAAGTGGAAATTACGTTTCATATTCATATTTACCGAAATGCATAAAAAAGTGAAATTAGTTACGATGATAGAGTTAGAATTCGAGTTCTAAGTAGAAGAAGAAGGTAAGCCTCAGGTTGAGATTGCCAATTCGGTGGATTGTTCGCGGTGCGCGGTGTAATGTGCTATCAGGCGATTTGTGGAGACGAAATCGTACAATAAAAAATCAAAAAGTGGAAGAAAGCGTCTAATTAGTAAACGACAAGACCGAATACTTATACGCGAGTCTCTCAAGGATCGCAAAAAATCCTATTCTGCCCTTTCGGATGAATTTAGTAAACCAGTTAGTGCTCGAAGAGTTGGAAGAAGGCATCTGGAAGCAGGTTTCAAAGGATGTAAAGCCCGAAGGAAGCCGTGGCTCTCAGAAAAGCATAGGAAAAATCGTTTGGAATGGGCTCGCCGATACCAACATTTCACGGAAGAAAATTGGTCGAATATTCTGTGGTCTGATGAATCAAACTGCAAGGTAAGCTTAGTTGAGATCGTCTCCAAATATTAACAAGCAAAGCTTCTTAACCTAGATCGATTTTGAAGACATAATATAAATCTTATGAAAACATTATTTTTCCTCTTCTACAGATATTTTTTACGTCACATCAGGGTACAGGAGGTAACGGATTATGGAAGAATATCATACGGATTGCGTGGTACCCACTGTGAAGCATGGAGGAGGCAGCAAGGAAGACAGTATAACATCAAACGCTGCCTTAAAGAACGCCTTAATTAACGAGTGGTAGGCCATAAGTGCGGACGAATGTGCAAAGCTTGTACGCAGCATTCCTAAGAGAATTGCTGCCGTTTTTAAATCGAAGGGTGGACCTCTTACATATTAATGTTATTATCACTAATTCATTGTATTTTCACTGTTTTACTAATAAAACTTCATTACTTCACTTGTTAAAACAAAAAATTCAGTAATTAGTAGTGGGATGCCGAATACTTTAGGCCAAGGTATGGTCGGTCTTCGAACTTCAAAAACTCATTTTTTTTGGTAATTTTTTCTATAAAAGTACAAAGTGTCAGGAATAATTTCCCCAAGTTTCAAGTTGATCGAGACGACACTGTAGAAATGAGAGAGTTTTATAACCAGCCGTCTTTGTCTTGGCTTGACCGATGGCGAAACTTTTAACGTATTTTTCTTAAAACCACTTTATCGAAATCGGTAGTCAAAATTCCTCAACGACAAAGCGATCGAGTCCAAATTTTCTATACTTCTGTTAAGCTATTTTTGTAGTCCCTGAACGAAGGATTTATTTTATCTTCGATTTCAACTTATTTTACAGGCCAATATGTGGCCTAATTTTATGCAGAAAATGAATTTTTTTTTGTAAAAAGCGCTAAAACAATATAATCGTTAATTCTTTTTAATTTTTCTTCTTTCAGTGACAAGGAAAATTCACCTATTTTGAGAAAAAATTTGGATTTCTGATTTCGCATAAAAATTGAAAAAGTTATCATGGCTACCACGAAAGCACTTTTTGGGGGACGGTCTACTTCACGACACTGCCAACGCCTTACCTTATGCCATTTTTCATTCAATTTTTCATCAAATGTTGTCCACATATTGTACTTTTATATGTAAACAAAATGATTTTTATGCTTTATTTAGTTTCTTTTAAAACATTAAAGAAAATCAGCTTAGTTTTGGCCTTCAAGACCTATGTAACCCCTTAATACTTTTGAATATTTTTTTCTTCTATTCCATCACTTGCCACACTTACCTCCATATCTGCAATTGGATTTATCGCTTGGTATATTTCCATTTGGTTCCAGTCGATCCAGATATTCCTCGGAATTATAACCATTATATGGAACTTTGTTACCGTGATTATGCCCATGCCCACCGCGATGATGATGATGATGGTGGTGATGGTGATGATGATGATGTGAGTCTTCGCCATCCTCGCGTGATATCGCTATAAGGAGAAGAGAAAAATTTCAATTTAGTAGCAGTTCATAATATAAGGAGTGCGTCATTTTCAATCATTGCTACTTTCTTGGAAAAAAAATTCAAAATTTTTTGATCAGTATTATCCACTTGAATAAATGTGGTGGGGCGAAACCTAACCATGGTTGAACGGACTATCGGTTTTGCTTGGTTATTATGTCGATTGAATATTTGACGTAATAAACTCTGAAAAAAGTATTGCTTCATTGAAAACCGCACTTCTAAAAAACGACAGACAAAACAGATATAGTCAATGGCAGCGACACAGATAAAGTTAAGACAGCCACGAAGCAGATATTAGAATCATAAGGGGATCGCTCAGACGGCAGCCCAGTGTTTAAAAAGCTTCTTAATTCTGGGATTGGGAAATTTGTTTAAAACATGTCTCATTACCAAGCTCTGAGTAAGGCCACAATATTTCTCACCCTCCTGAGACTGAAACCCTTCTTAAAACATGCATATCCTACTGTCGAGTCAGTGACGAGAGGCGGAAAGGGAAAACTATAATCCCAAAAATACGCTCAAACTCATCTCTTATGCCTGTTGGAACTCTATAGCAGAAAATTTGCTAAAGCTCCTCTCACTGCTAAAATTAGGAACCCAATTTAAAACATATCTCACTACCGAGTCTGAAACTCAGAGATTCCAAAAATTGCTGAAACTCATCTTATACGTTGTATGGAACTCAACAGTAGCCAACTAGCTTAATGATAAGTATTGAAATGTTTCCGTAAAACGCTTTTCACTTCCGAGACTGCAAGCCCACGTAAAAAATTCCTCATTCCAACACAATGTACCTTTGCTGAGACTACACACATTGTATCTGTCTAGAAGGTCTGTTATATGAAAGGTAAGTATTTCTGGACCGCTGTCAGTCATTTCAGTTGGCACTTTCTCAACTAAATGTGGCACACTCACCAAGTTTGGTCGAGTGCTCTTGAGAATTGCCTTAAATATCTAATCTGAGGATAATTTGGGGGTGAGAAGTAAAAAATTCCTTGTATGGGGCAAAGATGAAATCAATTGGAGCTCATATCAAATGTGCCGAGTTCAAGTCTCGAGGCTAACTAACCAACTAATTTTCTGGCAATAATTTATAATTTCCAAATGCAAGCGGCAAATTTTAGGTGACATACGCGTACATACAAACCCTCCCCCCGACCGTCATGCTCACACCATGCTTTATGCCCACATTCAACCAAAACTGACACGGCATCATAGAACCAAGGATTTATGCGCCGCACAACTGCAGTAATATTGCAAACTGTTGCCTTTCGATGATTTTTCACAATTTAGGTCAACAGTGCAGCTGTGCAGCTGTGCATAGACAACCGAAAAGTCATGCCATTCGGAGGAGACACTTATAAAATTATGTGGCTTTTAATATATATGAGAGTACAGCTTACCTAACTCTGCCTCCACCTCTGTAGCACACGATGTTTGTATGTATTTATGTATGTATATATTGGGATATTCACTGTACACGCCATGACCGCTGAACATGAAGTGATATACGAAATAGAGTGTAAAGTGCTTGGAAAATCGTTTCTCAGAACTCACACTCCTGTGCAGCAGAGCCACGTTGTGATGCGGCGCGGCAGGTGAAGGTGATTGCGGTTAGTGACACCGAAAGTTGGAGAATCGTATGTAGTAATGGCAATGGAAATGGTGGCAGTTGGTCGTTTTGGCATTTGGCATGTGGCTGGGTGTGGAGGAAGGCATCTTCTAAATAAAGACAGGCATGTTTATGGTGTCAAAGCTAAATCGGTGCCATTTACCTTTGTGCAAACGCCAGGACACAGTTGCTTTTAACTGGCAGCACAGACATTTGGTGTAATAGAGGAAAATATCTAACATTATGATTGTATGTATGTATGTATGTAGGTATATTGATGTCTGTAGTTTTACACATACACTTCAAAGTTAGCTGCGGCTTTTGCAGTCAATTGCAGTAGTAGATTTAATTAATTCATTAGAAGCGTATCTCGGTTACCACGAGTCTACTTCGCTCCACTTCAGCAATGCAATGAATGTCGGAAACTCATTTCAACACACACTCTCACATACACTTGTGGACATATAATATCATTTGTAGTGAGTACGTGGTGTAATGCCCCTCGAATTTTGCGGTTTTACTAATTTAATTGGCTGCTGCGGAGGAAGGAAACTCTCGTGTACACATAGTTATGTCGATAAATTGTTCAAGTCTAGTGTTTACTTTATAAAATTAAATTTAATATTTTATTTTGTGGTTAACGCTTGTATACATATATACCTAGTAATATGATACTAATTGAATGTACATATATGTATGTAAATATATATGTAAATTAAAAAGTTTTGTGGTTTCTAATTAAATACATTTTTGCAGGGACCGCATAAAGGCCGTGCATGCATGTATATGTGCAGAAAGAAAGCTGGGTGTGGTACGCACATACATACATATGTATATTTTCCCGACAGTTGATAGCAAGAAGCAATTTAATGCTGTTGACGTGAAAATGGTCAACTCCCTAATTTAAGAACTATGTACATACATACATATATCTCATACGTACATATAACAATATAGCTGCGACCTAAATCGACTCGCAGACAAGGTGTGGGGATCTACTTTACACAAAAATGACTCCAAAAGGTATTTCAATTATTTATATACATACAAGGGTAATGAGACTGATTCCGTAAAAACCGTATATTTCAAAATTATACTACAACTCTGACATCCTCTTCAAAGTAGTCCCCTTGTGCAGCTATACAACGATTCCCGCACCTTTTCCATGCTTCGTAACATTTCTGCAAGGCTTTAACTGGAATGTCCGCGAGTATCCTCGTCACAGCCACCTGAATATCCTCAATCCACTCAAAATGGGTTCCTTTGACCACCGAGTTTGTTCCTGAGAACAAAAAACCTGAGGTCAAATACTGGGACACGCTGAGGGCGGTGTGGCACGGCGCGTTATCGTGATGAAGGATTCAGTTGCGAACGATGTCTGGGCGTACACCTGAACACGACTAAGAGCACTACCACCATGCACTTTTACAAATCTGGCGTACGTTTCCGAAGCTGTTTCGCTCAATTTGGCGCAAAATTTTATTGCGATGCATTGCTCTTGATTTCGTTTTTCCATTTTCGTAACTAGCACTACGAACACTCGTTTACTCCACACGACACAGCAGGCGAACTAAATATGCTAGAGCGATGGCAAATATATCTAAGAAGAGGAGAAGAATGCCTGGAGGAGGGAACTAGATTTTCAAGGTCGCAGGGTTACCACAATCGCGGCAATATAATCAGTTTCATTACTCTTAAGTTTATCAAGTTTAGCTTTAACCGCTTAAGTGTTTCCTCGTTGCTAGTAAAGACCTTCGCTTTTAATTTTTGCGAAATAATCTGAAATCCGAAGTTACTGTACCCCGGGGATATGGCCTTGGACGAATTCATTCGTATCCAGAGATCGCCAAAAAGTTAATTTTTATTACAGCAGTTTGAAACGGCGCGCCGTCATAATGTAAAAATTAGCTCCGCAAACCCTCTTTCTTCCTGTTTCCCAAAAAATTTTCGAAACTTTTTGGTAAGCGTTCTTTGGTGAACCATTGCAATTGCCATCTGACCCTTTTCCAGTGGGAGAGCAGCTACGGTTTTAGATCGGCTGAAGTAAACTGGCATCATTACTTTTGCTGCTGACTTTTGTTGCTTAGATTTTACGGATGGGTTTGCTCCTGTTGGTCTCCATACCATAGACTGCTGTTTGGTTTCTGGATCGTATTAATGAAACCAAGATTCGTCACTAGTATGGACTTTACTCAATTTGTCAGGACTGACCATTCGTATATCCCAGATGATTACTTAATATTTGCGATACAGCCATGGCATTTAAGCCCATTTCCTTAGCAATCATTTTGGACTTTACCAGAGCTGCAGTGTTGTCATTATTGAAAGATTTCGGTCGACCTTCTGGGGTCTCATCCTCTACGGAAAAATGTCCGGCGTGTAATCTTCGGAACCACTTAGAAGTAATTTTTAAAGACGGTGCAATCGTTCCATATGAAATTTGGTATTCACTAAATATTTGTATTGGCTGTAAGTCACACCAAAACCCGAAGAGCATCATATGGCGAATTACTGTTTGCGAGGGTGGTGGAATTTCGTCTGACCTATCCTTAGCTACCTTGCGTTTTCTCGTCTCAATTTTAGCCGATCGTTCTAAAATATAAAGTAAGACTAATACAGTAATTGCAAAGGATTTGATGGTATTTTTAGATGTAACAAAAACAAAAGTCACCAACTGACCGAACATTTGTTAATCCCCTGGTATAATAAGCGCTTTGTAACCGCTGGAAGAACTTTTTTATGTTCTATAGAATAACCTCAATATTATAGGACAACATCTCGACTCAGTAATAAGATATACGAGATATGTACATAAAAAAATGAGTTATAGGTACCGTAAGACATCAGCTGTGGCAGTTCTAGTTATATTCGGATGCATTTCTATAGAGCTCCCGACACTTGAACGGAAGATTTGGGATCTACAGAATCAAATAAAACATGCAAAGTCATACAATCGACATGACAACGCCATTGATAACAGGAAAACTGCGACAGATGAACGATCAGACTAATCAAGTGCGGGTTAATTAATATATTACCCAAACAACTACCTGGACATTGACATTTTCAGAAGTATTTACGTATTACAAACCAATCAGCAGAGCCTTCAACACATTGCTGGCGAAGACAAAGGAGACAAGAAGACACGCTTCAGAGCCAAGGAAACTGGAAACATGTAGCTGAATACACAGTAAAAAACGTGACCTGGGTGCATGTTCTGAGTGTAAAAGTCCAGATGAAAAATATGGAACGTCATCATGAACTAATACGAAGGCAGTCTCCCGCTAGTATCACAAGTTCGAGTATGTTCACGGTTTATTAAATCTGAATCTTCACTCCTTTTTTTTTAAATT